CACCCCACCTGCGCAGACAAGCATTTAGAGGGAACGTTGCTCAGTTGCAATATAAAGAAGCCAAGTGGTCCATCTCAGTCACTTCTCAGTTTAGATTATATGTAGCAATTATTCATGATAGCTTTTGCAAGACAACATAGTGACGCACGTACGAAGCTGGCTTGTATGGGAGCTCTTGCGCATACGGAGCTGGTGAATTGGGTCACAGTAGTGCTGTAACTGACTTCAGCAAATGTAATTTGAATGCACTGTAGGTTTGGATGAGTGGCCTTTTCACTTTTTGTGCTGGGCAGATAGTTATTTGGATTTGCTTTTTGTTGATGGACCGTTTGGTCCTATGAGTAACTGCTTGGGGTGAGGAACATATAAATTAAAATAATTCTTCTGCACTCTTCATGCAGATCACACACTATGTGCTCTAACTGGAAGAAATGGCCCTGAATACTAACATATTGAATCTTGGTGACAGTGAGCTTGCTCAAAGTTTAGCAGTGCCCGACTGTTTCCTGAGATAATTTGTGATTTCCCATTATTTTGCTTTTTCTTTAACAGCCATGTTTTTGCTATGGGGAGCAAAAGCTAATTAGAAGTTACATATAATCAGTTAAAAATAAGCAAACTAGGGGAAATAGGCTAAAACAGATATTATCATTCAGTGACCAAAATAAAGCCTATGCAGTTATTAGTTATATTACATCCTTATCTATGCACCAGCATATATGCAAATATAAAACCTGATTATTTCTGTTTTCATTGTCCCTTCTGTTAGACCAATATGCCATGTTGGGTAAAGCCATGGGGATTTTTAAACCTGACATTGCCGAGGTGTTTTAGCATGGCTTAATCCAGCCCTGCATATCGCTGCCTTTCTTTATTACTGTCATCTTCCAGTGTATTGGGTTGCAGATATATTTTGCTAGCAGTTAGCAGGCTCGGGGTTGCAGTGCGTTTGGAAGAGCCACATAGATGTTGAGATATGTGCAGGAACTAACCAAAACTTGAAACAAAAGCAAATCTTCCATATTTTCAATGTGCTCATTCCACAGAAGAGAAAGGGAAAGATGAAGGAAGAAGGATGATGTCCCATAGCAGTCTTCTTTGATCTATAATACTTTCTCTTTTTCTCTTTCACCAGCTTGCATTTTCTTTTCTCTATTGAATCGGAATGCATTCTGCTCTCATGTTTTAAAAAGGATGAACACCTTTCCATTGACTTGGGAGACTAAATCCATTTGTTAGATTAAACCCACTGACTCAATGGGATGATCCACTGAACCAGTGGGACCTTGTTGGTGGATTGTTTGATCCTATGAGTAACTGCCACTCATTCACTGAGTCTTTTCTAATTGGGGCTAACAGTTGGACTCAGTCCTTGGTGATTACCAGGATCAGTGCAGTCAGTTTACGCCACTTTAGGTCCCTGAGTTCAGACATCATTAGAAATACAAGCAAAGCTTGATCTGTTAAACATTTGCTATGAGTCTTCTGGATTTGTCTCAATGGATGAAAAAGTATTAGATCTTCAAATTCTCCTCTGGTTTGGATCAATCAAAAGAATTACCTCTAGCAATGGGGAAAGCTATCAAATTCATTTATTCTCACATTTAAAAAAAACTTCATGTTTTCTCTGGTTAAAAGCAAAAAAGCAAAGCATGCTGCTTATGTACCACCTGACAGAGCTTAAAGCATTCTCTGGGTGGTTTACAGCTTTATTATGCAGGCTTCACAATGCCTGCCCCCATAAGCTGGGTACTCAATTTACCAAACTTGGAAGCATGAATGAATCTTGGGCTGGCTACCTGGGACTGAACCCAGTTTGTGAACAGAGGTTTGGTTGCAATACTGCAGCTTCACCACTGTGCCACGAGGCTCTTTAAAGTGAATAAAATGAAATTTCAGTGATAGACCATTACTTTCAAAATTCCCTGATTCAATCCCCAGTATCTACACAAAGGCCTGGAAAGGACTCCGCTACAGATTAGCAAAGATTTGGGCTGGAATGACACATTCCAGAAAAAAACAAAACAAATGGAATTTGCAGCAACTCATGTGGTTGCCCATGATGCAGTTTTAAACCTACAATCTGCACTTCTCTAATCTGCAGTAAGGCTTGCATAGCTCCATGGCATGGCAAGGTGATGCCAAGGTAGTGGTTGCTATAGAAATATCTGCGAAGCCTTTCAGCGGCAGGCTGCTCTCTGCATCACATCAGACACACAGACTGGCCAGCGATGTTGTCATGCTCAGGGAGGCAGCTCTTGTGGCTCCATTTACAGCCTTTGAAGCAGGCAAGCACCAGTTTCTCAGCTGCTGCCTCAGCCCCAGTGCTATCAGCAGCCAGGGCCTCCCCTGCTCAATGTGATCAGGGAGCGGATTCTTTTAATATGGATGAAAACTGGACATGCATTGCAAGCAGGTTCTTGGGCATTTGCTGATAAACCACAGTACAAAGCTTTGATGTAGATAATTGCAAACAAGCTGTTCCAATTTTGAATGGTACAATAAAGCTTTCGGTGTTTCTGCCCGGTGCCTGATTTGGCCAGCCAGTGTCAAATGTCCAGTCATGGTGCTCCCATGGATGCATTTGATCATGAAGATTTTCAAAAGTGGGACAATGGGCTCCCCCTGCTCCTGATTCTTTCTTGGCTTCATCTCCTCCTGGCCCTTCCCCCTCTCTTGGCCAACCTAAAGGTAACGCTCCCTGTCTGCTTTTGTGGCACACACACACACACCCCGTGCCCCCATAACACGGCTCCTGGTAGAAAGAGGATAGATCGTGTTTCTGAAAGTGAATTTGGCAGCAGCAGCTGATGAGTCTGGGTATGGTCCTAGCAGGGCCAGAGGGACCCATCTGCTCACTAAAAGTTGTCCTTCCCTCTTACAGAGTCAGGTTTCCTAAGTAAGTAATAAGGAACTGAGCAGCCTTCCCTTTTGGTTCCAAATAGAGCGATGGTTTCCTAAGCAACACCAGTGTATAGTGCACAGTGCAGCCTAGCATGATGTGCAGCTACCTGAAGAAGTCTTGCACAAGCTGGAAGCTATTTCTGTCTTTGTTTTGTTCTCCTTGTATTCTGCCTTTCAGTGAGCTAGAGGCATGTCTTTTATCTGTACATCAATCCTGTGAGGCTAAGAGAGAATTTCTAGCCCAAAGTCACTCAGTGAGTTTCCCTGCTCCTTGTGGAGTTGAATTTGAATCTTCCAAATCCCATGTCCAAAGCACCAGTACAGTATATCAATGTCTGCACCACACAGGTTCCGAGTGCCAGGCATTTGGAAGATAGGTAAAGGTAAAGGTTCCCCTTGACAATTTGTCCAGTCGTGTCCGACTCTAGGCGGCAGTGCTCATCTCCATTTCCAACCCATAGAGCAAGTGTTTGTCCACAGACAATCCTCCGTGGTCACGTGGCCAGCGTGACTAGACACGGAATGCTGTTTACCTTCCCACCGTCGTGGTACCTATTTATCTACTCGCATTTTTCGTTCTTTCGAACCACTAGGTTGGCAGGAGCTGGGAGAAGCGACGGGAGCTCATTCCATCACATGGATTCGATCTTACGACTGCAGGTCCTCTGACCTTGCAGCATGGAGGTGTCTGCGGTTTAACCCACAGGGCCACCACAACATGATACTCATCATGTTTGGGCATCATCTGAGCCATATGATCTTACAAGGGGTCAATAGCTGAGAACCTCCAGATCCTGTTGCTGTTGCCACCTGTTTGTTTGTGTTTTTTGTTTGTTTGTTTGTTTTTAAACCTCTCTCAAAGGGGTTGCCTTTGTGGGCAGCAGCAGTGAAAATCGGTTTGCCAATTCTATAACTGGCACTGGATGGCAGTGAGGATAATGAGGGTCCACAGAAGGATGTGTCCTGCTGTGGGAGACAGTTCAATTGAGGTCTTGGAGCTGCTGCTTTACCAAGGCAGCAGCTCCAAAAAAAACCAACAAAACCTTAGCCTCGGAGTGAGGGGGCAGAGGAAGGATACAAGCTGCAAATAATCCTTTTTTTAAGCATGTAGGGACAAGAAAAAGGTGAATAAGTCTTTGTAAGGTAACAACGTATGCAGAGTTGTGCTTTGTGGGCTACAACTCCCAGCATTTTAGTTCAAGAATATAAATTTGCACACCACTAAGAATAAAGTATCTAATAGAAATGGAGGGTGGACCCTTTCAGTGGATCATTATTTATGTTTACTTCAGGGATGGTTGATGTGTGTCTCTCTCTTTTATGTTGATGGAATACAACTCTCAACTCCCTTCACATTAGTTATACTGGCTAGATCTGTTAGACATTGAGGCTCATCCCACATGGGAAGGTCACCCATTGCTCCACTAGGGTTCACTTCTTCCTTCGCTCTCTGCTCCCTTCCCTTCCTTGCCTCTGCCCCACCCTTTGTATTCCATTGTTACGTGATGGCAAACTTTGTTTCTTTTTCTTAAAAGATGTGGACGTTGGATGGTTGTTTGTTTGTTTGTGGGTTTTTGTTTTGTTTTGTTTTTGAACTCCGAATCACATAATCTCACTCTCAGCTTTTCCAGTGGGCATCTGGCTGGAGTATTGTTGGGATTGTAGTGGAAGGAAACTATTTTTCCTCACATCTGTTTTGTCTTCAGAGAACAGAATTAGCCTTGTTGTGCTAGATATGATAATGCCAGATGCTGGTTTTATTCCAGCAAGTCTCTCACCTGGTTTTTCTATGCCTGTGTCATGTGTCTCCCAACAGAAGGTGAAATGAATAGCATTTTGCCAACACTGCAAAGCATGTGCTTGCATCTTCCTTCCTTCCTTCCTTCCTTCGCATGAAGGCTTGTCCTTTTGGAAGCTACACTTCAGTTATCCCTGGATGCTGACAGCTGGATGTGTGCTCTGCCACTTAAGAGCAGCTATGTAAGAGGGATTAAGAGTGAAGCAACTGTTCAGAATGGCATATGCAGAATGATACTAGCCATTTTATGCAGAAGGGAAATGTGACTGATAGAGGTACATGTTCTGTTTTGTTTCAGGGAATCTGACTAAACATATGAAGTCAAAAGCCCACAGCAAAAAGTGTCAGGAGCTGGGGGTGTTGGTGTCTTCACTGGTGGAGCCAGAAGCCGAAGAAGGTAATGATGTGGTGCTTTACTGTACCATTCTGATTCCTTTCCTGGTGTCAGGAAGATTCTGGACTCCCAGGTGGCACTGAATTTCATGAGTGTCATGTTCTGTGGGGCTCGTCAGCCATGGAAGGCAGCCCATCTAGGAGAAGGAAAACTCCAATTTCAAACCTCCACTGCCTTGTGGCTATATCCACTCGTGGAAAAGGCTTCAGGAGTTAAGCTAGAGGCAAAATCCAGAGCTGGAGTCCCGAAGGCAGTTCGTTTCATTCTGCCAACTCCTGCGACGTTGCTGGAACCAATTGTATTGGCTCTTGCCTTTCCATTGGACCATTTCAGCAATGTGGAGAGGTGGGATCTGCTGCTTGGGTAACAGCCTATCCTCCATATTACCTTACCCGGGCTTCATGCTCTGGAGAGGACCCTCCTCGATTCAGAGCATGTTACCATAGTCTCTCGAGACTGAAGGATGCCTATGCATGTTCATGGAGGGCAAATCAGAAGAGTGCATTTTTTGTATTTTCGGGAGGGAAGAAGATCCATTGTGGGGTGTGAATGGTAGGCTCATTCTCAGCAGTGGCCTCTTAATATATATATTTACATTTACTTTGCACTATTGGTGCTGCAATCACAAGAATTTCTATCTGCCTCAGCAGGAACATCTGTCTTCCTTTTTTACTATACAGCACGGGTGGACAGTTTCCAGAGGTCCAAAGAGTCACATTTATTTATTTATTTATTTATTTATTGGACTTATATACCGCCCCATAGCGCTACAAGCACTCTCCAGGCGGTTTACAATTTTAATTATACAGGCTACACATACATTCCTTTGGATATTAGAGGTGACCTAGTGCCCCTTATGCAGCAAAAATATTACTTAAAAAGGTCATCACACTCTCTAGAATGATGGTCTGAGGCCCTGGAGCTAAATTCAGGCCTAAAACCCTCCTAAAGATCACAAGAGGTCTGGAAATTGACAAAAGTTGCTGTTGTTTTTAGAAAAAAATAAATCAAACGGAATTGTCCAGATAGGTATTTCTAGGTTTGGTGGAATCGGGCTTTGGGGATACTCCACAAGCCAGGGACAGAAAACTACTGCTCCTAGAAGCTTCTTTTGGTCAAAATAGGTAATTTTTTGTTAACTTTTTTAAAAATATTTAATTTGAGGACTGCAAAAATGCCCTGGGGGCCCAATTTGCCTATCCCATCTTAAGTGTATGAAGAGGAATTCTGCCAATTCAAAAAAATACTCCCACAGCCTAAATCAGCTCAGGATTGGCCAGAAATATTGTCACAGTACTTTGCCTGCCCCCATTCTCCTAGAAAGAATGTAAGGTCTGTTTTGGACAACACAAAAGTGGAGGCTTTGGCTACCCTTTGCTTACCTCTACTTTAGAGCAAGTGGATAGGAACAATCAAGACTGGACCCTAACCTGGAGGGTAGGGAGCTTATAACAAATGCACACGTATCGACCGACACACATGGACTACGATTGACGTCTAGATGGGGGAATCTATCCCTGCAGTATCTATTGCTCAGAAGTGGTCCATTCAAGCAAAACATTAATTTATTTCTCTTCCTCTCTCTTGTCCCTCACCCCTCCACAGGCAGTAATAAGATCTCCTTCAAGTGCCTGTGATTTGTCCACCTCAGCTTCCTCACAGCTCTAATGACAAGGGTTGTCATGCTCAGTGGGGCATCATACGTTAAGGACTGATGTCATTAGGTGGAGGGGCGTGCAATTGAGCTGAAATCTATACAGCACAAGATGTTCAGTGTGAACTCCGGGAAGTGTAGCTTCCTCATGAGCACAGCTACTAAATGAGTTTCTCTTGCTTCTTAAATGCATGGCTGCCTTACTAGCTTAGTAGCTGTGCTCCCAAATAAAGAGTGACCAAAATCCTCGAGTGAGGTGATGTAACGTATAGCTCTTCATATGCTGTAGAACTACAAGTCCCATAAACCTGAACTAGGATAACTATTACTAGTCATTCTGGGAGCTGTGGTATGGAGGACCACGATAGCCCACTCTGTCCTACAGGATCTCCACAAACATGAGCCCAGGACATTTTTGTGCATTTCCCCATTCTTGAGAGAAGTGCTCAAAAAGTCTTCTTTTGCCCTCTAGAGTGCGTGGAAGGCAAATTTTCCATATTTTAAGGGTCTCCCAGCACCCAGAAAGTGGAGACTTTTTCAGCTCATAAATATGTTTTTAAAGTAAAACCAATTTTTCAGTTAGCTAAAATCTGTAGTAACCTTAATGGTACATAAACACTTCACTTTAAAAAACTTTTTTAAAAAATACGAAATTAAATATGCAAATTCTCTCTTAGCCCGTGTTCTCCTATTATTTCTTATCCACTCAGAAATGCAGCCTCAAACTGCTGATAAACTGGAGAAATGGCCCTTCGTGCCTCAGAGATTGCCCCTCCTGCCCACAGATAGCCAGATAACATGAACTCTTAAGTACTCTGAAACATTCCCTTCAGGTAACAGCAGATAAATGGTGATTGCTTTGGGATAAAATGGTACATAGAATTTAGGGTCATATTTTACAAAATGGGCTTTAAAATTCCACAGTAATTCCATTGCAGTGCTTGTCCTCCTTCCCTCCCCCCCCAAAAAAACCCACACACCCTCAGTTGCCACCAGGGTTGTTTTTTCTTGCAGAAAGGAAGCTAATATGGAAATTTTCCTTCTGTTGCAAATATTATATTGGAGGGAGTGGGAAGATTTCTTTGGAGACTCCTAAGTGAGGGGAAGATTTGCTGCAGTTTCAGTCTTTGGGAACCCCATTGTTTCTCCTTAACAAATAAATACACCATCACATACATTAAGTGCTACTATGCCTCACAAATGTATCTTAAGGCGTAATCACATGTATCATAAAAACTGCAGTCATATCGATTCTGCCATTATTTAAATCATTTTATAAATTTCTGTTCACATGATGCACAGGTAAAATCAGTTCATTTGGCCAACCAATCATTTTTTTTCCCCAAGCTTGCCGACATTGGCTTTTTAAAATGATCCGATCCCTGAATTCTTTCTCTCCCCATCATTTTGGCCTGTGTGAACATTGCTGTCCATTTACTTTGCACTCTCTTGTGTTTTTGGCACCATAACCACTGCATGGCCCCTGTGCTTTTTTCCTTTTTATTATTGTTATTTCTTCAAATGCTAGGCAATGTATTGGTATCTGATTTCATTGAGATAGCATGTGTAACCTACAAAACCTGTTCAATGTTCAAGAAGTATATTTAAAGAAACAATGGCTGTGTGAATGTTCCTACTGATTTCTATACCATGTAAGTATAAAGGAAGTAGGAAATTGAAATGATTCAAATGGCCCATGTGACTAGGCCCCCAGTTTTTCTCTGGAGCCACACTACAGAGGAGGTCTATTGCCTTTCTCTTCCGTATCTGGTTGGTCACGAAAAGTGTGTGGAAATATTCCAGCCTTGATTTCATTATATTTCTCTAAATCTAATCTGTATTCTTGTTCATGATTTGGAAAGTTACTTTTTTGGACTTCCGTTCTGAGAATCCTGCAGCTGCCTGGCCACCTATTGTCCCTTGTTCACATCTCTTCTTGTTCCCTCTTTGTATCGGGCTGTGAGAGTTTTATTACCTCTGGGTAGCTCAACACTTTAGGCATTTGGCTGCAGAAATAGAGGTTGGGAGTTTGATTCCCTCTGTGCTTCCTTGATAGGGAGTGGACTCAATTATCAGTAGGGTCCCTCCCAGCCCTGCAGTTCTAAGACAATTATGATGATTGTATTCGCAAAGGTTTTCACAGCCAGGATCTGATGGTTGTTGTGGGTTTTCCGGGTTGTTTGGCCATGTTCTGGAGGTTTTTCTTCATTTCACCAGTCTCTGTGGCCAGCAGCTTCAGAGGACAGGAGTTAGAACGCTGTCCACGAGGATGAGCCTCGTGGCGCAGTGGTTAAAACGCTGTACTGCAGCTAAAACTGTGCTCACGACCTGGGGTTCAAATCCCAGGTAGCCGGCTCAAGGTTGACTCAGCCTTCCATCCTTCTGAGGTCGGTAAAATGAGTACCCAGCTTGCTGGGGGGGGGGGCAATATGTAGCCTGTATAACGAAATTGTAAACCGCCCGGAGAGTGCTTGTAGCACTATGGGGCGGTATATAAGTCCAAAAATAAAAAAATAAAAAAATAAAATATGTCTTGTTTCTCAGAAGCCTTGCAAACATCATTTCTGAAGCAGAATACACATTGCCTGTTAGTGACACTTGGAAGATGCAAAAATGTACAGCCAAACAGCCCGGAAAACCTACAACAACCATCAGTTTATGATGATTATTTCCCATTTGGATACAGTATTTACAGAAATTTTTGTATGCACTCCCCACCTAAATGTACATATTTTTCTATGTATCTTGGTGTGCATATTTCATTTCCATTGACTAAAGCATATTTTGTTTTATTTTTCAACTGTACACATTTTATGCTGTTCTCATCAGCCCGGAAAACCTACAACAACCATCAGTTTATGATGATTATTTCCCATTTGGATACAGTATTTACAGAAATTTTTGTATGCACTCCCCACCTAAATGTACATATTTTTCTATGTATCTTGGTGTGCATATTTCATTTCCATTGACTAAAGCATATTTTGTTTTATTTTTCAACTGTACACATTTTATGCTGTTCTCATTGTTTCAACATATGTAAAGTTTTGTCTATGTCTTGTTTCTCAGAAGCCTTGAAAACATCATTTCTGAAACAGAATACACATTGCCTGTTAGTGACTCTTGGAAGATGCAAAATAGATATGTCTTTCAAGAATTGTGGCTTCTGTAAAATTCTGTTCTATCACCTTTAGTTACTAGGCAGATCAGGACACGTCTTTTTTCAGTCTAGAGACAGGGTGCAAGGAAAAAGTATCACCTTTAGTTACTAGGCAGATCAGGACTCGATGGATTCATCCAGCAGTGATATTCCACGTCTTTTTTCAATCTAGAGACAGGGTGCAAGGAA